TTCCATCAGAAAGAATTCAGGGGATGCTGAAAACAACAACAACAAAACCCACTATGCTTGACCGTGGACCACGGCAAAGGCTCTGAATCAGGACTCGCCTATAAAAAGGGCTGCAGCATTTCTCACTGAGCTTGGAGTTCCTGTCTAAGAAACGAATATAATGGGGGGTGCCTGGGTGGCTCAGTCGGTAAAGCGCCCGACTTCAGATCAGCTCATGATCTCGTGGTTCGTGAGTTCTAGCCCCGCGTCGGGCTCTGTGCTGACAACTCAGAGCCTGGAGCCTGCTTCGGATTCCGTGTCTCTCTCTCTCTCTCTCTCTCTCTCTCTCTCTCTCTCTCTCTTTCTCTCTCTCTCTCAAAGATAAATAAAGACATTTAAAAAATCAAAAAAAAAAAAAAGAAAAAAGAAACGAGAATAATGGGAAACAGCTGGACCATCGTCCCAGGGACTGGAAACCACGTCTGAGCTTACCGACTTGGGTGGCACTGACATGGCCCTGCACAGAACTGTTTCTACTGAACAGCATAGTGTCAAAGACCCTATCCTGCTCGAGAACTCCAGAAACCCACCAAAGGCAATACCACTCCCAGGCCTGAGTCCTAGCAGAAGCCGTGCTCTTATCTCAATGTGTTCATCTTCAGACACTGAATACCTTGTACCCGAATTTCCCTTTTTTTTTTTTTTTTTTTTTTTCCGAATTTCCCTTTTTACTTTTGCTGCCAGGAGCTGCCGGCTGAATTTTAAGCCCCACCTTTGGTACCGTCACAGGTATCGCGACGTGCATTTCTCCTCACTCTGCTTCCATTTTACTACTCCCCCTTTCCGTTCCTTGACCTTAACGCCTTTATCTGTATCTTTGATCTCATTTTTATGACTCTCCGTAAACCTCTGAAAATGTTTCTGAAACACCAAAGGGAATAAATCACAATTTTTAAAGCTCCAAATAATACTTCAGAATACTTCAAACAGGGCATTCCTGTTTTGTGTCCCCAAATACACCATCTGCTCTCATACCCCTGTGCCTCAGCCCTCTCTACAAAACCCTCCCTTGCCTATCTATTAACCTTTGTTTAACTCCAACTTCAGAACCGGTTCACAAGTCGCTTTCCCCAAGAGCCTTCTCTGATCCTGCTAGCCGCTTCCCTGCCCTGTGCTCCCACGGGACTTTGTTCATACCACTGTCGTCAAGTGTCCCCACGCCCAGCCGAGGGTCTGCACAGTGTTCAATGTGGCTGAACGCATGGATGGATTCCTCTCCTTTGCAGAAACAGAGGCCCCTACAAGGTCTGCTTATTTGTTGGTTTGTTTCAATCCGGAAGCAACAGCAGTAGCAGCTGGTGAGTGAATCTAGTTCATTAAAGAACCTGTTAGAGAACAAGCAGACAAGACACGCAGGTCTTGCTCTACGTCTGCATTGAACACCCCCTTCATGCTCCCCGGACTCTCAACAAGCCAGCGCCCTGACGTCCAGTGTAAAACGTTCATAGGAGACGGACACGGCCGAATTCTTCGGTCGTAACCAGAAGGTAAGCAGAGATACCACTGTGACGCAATACATACACAAAAGGAAAGAATCCATGGCCACATCACCTCGCCGGAAACACACACATGACCTGATGCAGAAAAGGAGTCAAGGCGAGATGCTAGAAAGCTCGGGGTCACGGCCACGTTCGCCTGAGGTAAGCGTTTAGCGTGCATTGTGGTTGTTCAGGTCTGAAGCAAAGCAGCCCTCTTCTGTGGGTAACTGCCCAGCCCTCCCAAGCACGTGCCTCTGAGGAGGCCGTCCGTGGCGGGACTCACACACACACGCGCGCATGCACACGTACACACCGCTGACAAAAAGCGGGCACGTGACCCACGCTGGTCTGGGCCTCTCCATGCCTCACCCCTCCGGCCATCCTGACAGGGAGACAGCGGGGGTGAAGGAGTGGGAGAGTCCTCCTCCCTCTTATGTAATTAACCGGGACTATGTGACCCCAGCAGCAGGGCAATGATGGTCCAACCACCTGGAACTGGAGGATCTCTCCACCTGGAACTGGAGGGAACCGGCTCTCAGGGACCAAGATCCGGTCCCCACAGTGTGCCAGGGTCTCTGTCCCTCCAGCACTTTAGTTATTACACAAGGCAAGAATTCCCTCTTTTTGCCTAAGTCAGCTCAAGCTGGATTTCAGTCACGGCAGAAAAACCCCTCCCACCCCCAGGATGCTCAACCCCAATCCCTCCTCTCACTGTCCCCCTCCCCTTCCTTTCGTCACCAAGCACTCCCCGCCTCCCCACACAGATGTGCAGGTGCTACACAGGAATATATCTGCTTACCAACAGCAGCCCAAAATTCTTTCAGAAGCACCAAGGTGTACCTGAGTAAGTGCTTTACGGAACCACCAAGGTCTGATGGCAGAGGGACAGGTGAATAAATTACAGCATCTCCACCTGATGTAATATCACACAGCCCTTTCAAATGTTTACCAAGAATGGGTTATGAGATTAAAAAATTACTTATTTTATAGAGAGATGTGTGTATGTGTATGCATGTCCCCAATCCAAATTCTACTGAATGAACCTTTTATAATGACAGTGAGGGGTGGAGGGGCTGAGCTACTTTAAACTAAGTGGAAGTTATCCAGTGAAGGAGTAAGAACCATGAAAACCGCACCTCTATCTGGCCAGTCTTTGCCTTACCGCACACAACTCAAACCCTACTTCTTCTCGTTCAACTCATGTCACCTCCTCCTAGAAGGTTTCCCGACTACTCCATCCCACGGGGATCTTCTGCACCGACTCCCTGAGCTGCATTAATGAGCCCTGGATTTCAAGCTATTTTGCATTTTATCACAGATAACATTTCCATCTCCCTTTGGAAAAGATGAAACTTTCAGAGACCATGGCTTATATTTCCATCAACATCTAAAGCAGGGACATCTGGTGTTCAAGAACACGTGGGAAACGCTTCTTTTAACAACATGCAGTAAACTGGTATACTCCAAGGTCGCCGGTGGCAGCATAAACTGGGCCAGCCCTTTGGACAAATGATTTGGCAACATGATTAACTAGCATAAAATGTTGGTAGCATCTGACCTAGTAAACTCACTCAAATCCTAGGAATTTTAAGGGAAAACACCTTTACGCCCAAAGACGGTTATCGTGGCATCATTTAAACAACCAACACGGCGACAGAACAGGAAATGATTATGTAAAGCATGTGAAATCTGTTCAGTGAAGAGTATGCATCATTCCACACGGTCACTCTGGGCCCCACACAGTATGGGAAGATGCCCGTGATAAAGTAAGGGATCAAAGGACCCAGAGCGGCACCCAGCTGCACCAAGGTCTGAAGGGTGACACTGAAAACCAAAAAGTTACTGTGTCAGGCTGGTGGAACTGTAGGTGACGTTTTCTTTTTCTAAATTTCCATTACTGTTCCCTTGATGTTCATTAATATTTGTGTTAAAATACACAAACATTCGTATTTCAATTCTCTTGTCAGTGTTCACGTTAGGATTTCAAAGCAGGGGATCCGGACATCCGTGCCCACAGCAGCCACTAGAGAACTCAACTGTAGCACCTGTGGGCTCCCCTGTGAGACTGCCATTCTAATGACTGCCCACCCGAGGTCCTGTGCCTGCCCGGGGTTCCTGTGCAGGTTATTCATTTGACCAGAGTGTCAATGATCACTCAGACTCAGACCCTATCCCACCCAACTGCACCCAGGCGACGCATCTGGATGTGACTCTCAACACGCTGAATACTTAAGTTGAAATGTAACAACTTTTCGGGCACCTGGGTGGCTCAGTCGGTTAAGCGTCTGACTCTTGATCTCGACTCACGTCATGATCTCACAGTTCGTGGGTTCAAGCCCTGCATCGGGCTCTGTGCTGACAGCTCAGAGCCTGCTTTGGATTCTCTTTCTCTCTCTCTCTCTCTCTCTCTCTCTCTCTCTCTCTCTCTGCCCCTCCCCCGCTCCCCCGCTTGCTCTCTCTCTCAAAAATAAACTTTAAAAAACATATAATAGAAATCTTCAAAGATAAACTACTTTATGCCTGCCAAATTCAGAATTTTTTATTTTAAATTATATTTATTTTTAAATTTTTTTAATGCTTATTTTTTTGAAAAAGAGACAGAGCGTGAGCAGGGATGGGGCAGAAAGAAGGAAACACAGAATCTGAAGCAGACTCCAGGCTCTGAGCTGTCAGCACAGGGCCCAACGCGGGGCTCAAACTCGTGAACCGTGAGATCACAACCTGAGCCAAAGTCAGCCACTTAACCGACTGAGCCACCCAAGTGCCCCCCGAGAGAATTTTTTAAATGCTAGCATCCAGTGCTGAATAAATACATAGTCTTTAAAAAAGGATCACTCTAACACACAGAAATCAGACATAGTCATTCTGGGAAACAATTTGCATATATCTATAAAATAATGGTAAAAATATTCATACTCTTTGACCCAATAATTATGCCTCTATCAGGAACTAATCAATAGAAAAGTATTTAGATACAAGGATGTTTGCTATTGCATGTTATAAGGCAAAAAAAAAAAAAAAGTGTAACAACCTAAATGTCCTACATAAGGGAGTAAATAAACTGCAGCACATCCAAGTGATGAAATATTATCCTCATACCGAAAAACAAACAAACAAAAACACGTTTCTGAAGAGCACTCATAACATGGCAACGCACCAAAAAGAGAACACCGAAAAAAGCAAAATACAAAACTGCATTTTCAGCCTGACGCCAATCATGTGTGCATGTGTCTGTGACTGAGTGAGCGAGTGAGTGGGTGAGTGTGTATGTGTGTGTGTGTGTGTGTGTGTGTGAGAGAGAGAGAGAGACAGACAGAGAGACAGAGAGACAGAGAGACAGGCAGAGTTTCTAGGTGATGAGATGAGGAGTGAAACATTTTCTTTTTTATGTTTTTCAGACTTTTCTACGTCTTCCGCAAAGAAGATCTCCCTGAAACCAGCAACTGACAAAGAGCCCGGCCCGCCCACGCTGCTGCCGCTCACGTGGATGGTGCGGTCCCCTCTGCTCCTCTCGCGATGGGCCTCCTCCAAGTCCTTCTCCAGTCTCTCTCTCTCCTGCTGCAGGCGGCTCAGCTCCTGGGTCACCTTCCTCACGCTCCTACGCAGTCGGTGGTTCTCCGCGCTCTTGTTGAGGTTTTCTGAGCGCAGCTGCACCAAAAGGGTGGCCTTGTCCAGCAGAGCAGCCTCACAATCCTCAGACCCCTACAAGAGGAGGGAGAGAGGGGAGATGAGCGGGTTTCTGGAGCGCACTAAACAGACTGCCTTAGGGTGGGGGGAGAGGAGTTGAGGAAGGAAAAGAAAAAGATGGACATAACCTCCAGGACCCAAAGCACAACTAACATGAAGATTTTGAAATAACACAGAGTAATGATTATGTTACGATGCTGATGTTAAGAGGGGAAAGGCTACAACCAGGTAAAAGTGCTGTGATTTTTTTAAAAGACTGCAAGGAAAAGCACAGGATGCTAACAAAATCTGGATCTGGGTGGGTACATAGAGCTGATTTCTTTCCTTTGCTTCTCTCAAACGTTCTGAGGTTACTGAGAATGTTCCTGTTATAATGGTTTAAAAAAAGAAAAACAACTTCATCAACTTGTTTTTACAAGGTAGAAAATGAAGAGTGCCACGTGACAAGCAGAGACAGATACAAGCCGGCAATGCTCATGGAGCTGAGCCCAATTCAAAGCCAAAGTCATCTGGAGAAACAAAAGTGGTCAGCATGGCAGTCCAGTGGCCACCTTGAGAAGCTGTAAGTTCAGCAAACTGCAAGGGCTACTTGTGTCCAGAACATCCTTACTTCATTAATACACAGGTTAGTAGAAAAGAAAATAGGGGGCCTGGGTGGCTCAGTCGGTTGAGCGTCCAGCTCTGGGCTCAGGTCACGATCTCACGGTTTGTGAGTTCGAGCCCCGCGTCAGGCTCTCTGCCGTCAGTGCGGAGCCTCTTTCAGGTCCTCTGCCTCCCTCTCTCTCTGCCCCTCCCCTGCTTGAGGTCGCTCTCTTTCAAAATTTAAATGAACATTTAAAATTTTTTTTTTTTTTTTTTTTTGTCCGACTTCAGCCAGGTCACGATCTCGCACTCCGTGAGTTCGAGCCCCGCGTCAGGCTCTGGGCTGATGGCTCAGAGCCTGGAGCCTGTTTCTGATTCTGAGTCTCCCTCTCTCTCTGACCCTCTCCCGTTCATGCTCTGTCTCTCTCTGTCCCAAAAATAAATAAACGTTGAAAAAAAATAAATAAAATTAAATTAAATTAAAAAAAAGGGGGCGCCTGGGTGGCTCAGTCGGTTAAGCGTCCGACTTCGGCTCAGGTCATGATCTCGCAGTCCATGAGTTCGAGCCCCGCGTCGGGCTCTGGGCTGATGGCTCAGAGCCTGGAGCCTGCTTCGGAGTCTGTATCTCCCCCTCTCTCTGCCCCTCCCCTGATCATGCTCTGTCTCTCTCTGTCTCAAAAATGAATAAACGTTAAAAAAAAATTATTTTTTAAAAAAAGAAAGAAAATACATATGGGGTTATCAAGCATTTGAAAACATACTGTAACTCACCAATAATCAAACAGAGCAAATGAAAACAAAGTCTCATTTAACAAGACTGTTTTAATGAGAATATCCAGTGCTGGCAAACTTACTATGAAGCAACACAATTAATATTAACTTTTCAAGAACTGACCGAGCATCCAGCAGCCAAGAAATACACTGGCAGGAATGTAAACTGATGTGACTCCCTATGGACATACTATAGATACCAAGTGTGTGTGTACAGGATAAACATGTTCACACTCATCCCGATGATTCCATTCCCAGGACTCAATCTCACAGGAAGAGTCCAAAATATAGTGTAAGGAAAAGCCTTATGCCCAAAGTCATCCATCACAGATTTACTTTAACAGGAAAAAAATAAGAACCTAAATTGATAACACAGGAATATTCCAAGTCATAATGTTATATAAAAAAAATAGAAGATTAAATTGTGAGTCCTTTAAAAAATAAAATCTATGCAGAGGAGAAAGCAGAAAAAGAAAAACATCAAAATGTTAATAGTGGCTGGGTGATTTCCTGATTCCTTTTTTTTTTTTTTTCCCTTCTTTCTGGTCTCCTGAAGGAAAATTTGAAGGATATGTAATACTTACAATCAGGAGAAAATAAACTTTCAGGATTTTTATTTTTTTTACTGTTTATTTCTTTTTGAGAGAGAGAGACAGAGAGAGACAGAGAGAGAGAGAGAGAAAGTGGGGGAGGGGCAGAGAGAGAGGGAGACACAGAATCCCAAGCAGGCTCCAGGCTGTGAGCTGTCAGCACAGAGCCCGATGTGGGGCTCGAACTCACAAACCATGAGATCATGACCTGAGCCAAAGTCAGACGCTTAACCGATTGAGCCACCCAGGCGCCCCATAGACTTTTAATTTTTTTATTCTGCTCTTTGGATTAGACTAGGGCTCACGATGACGAGCTGTCAAGGGCTGTCAAGGCCACAACGCAGACTGTGGAGTAAAAGTAGTGGCCCCAGCTTCTTGGCCTTCCCAGGAAACACTGCTAGTTAAGCCCTAGTTGTTAGGAGAGGTGGGTGGGCTGCAACCACAGTTCATCGGGGAGAGGCGGGGCTGTGCTGGTCCTGGGCCCCCACGGCCTAACCATCTGCTCCAATGCTTCCCCGCTGCTATTCAGGACCCAGCAACAGAGACTGAGGGGGAGCCCCATTCACATTTCAAAGTGGGTTTTATAGAGGTTCTATTTCACTTTTCTTTAAAGTTAAAATTTTTAAAAAGAGTGGGAAACCTAGGTCACAAGACACCCCACCCCCCAAAAAAAAAAGTATTAGCGGGGGATGCCTGGGTGGCTCAGTCAGTTAAGCATCCAACTCTTGATTTCAGCTCAGGTCACGATCTCACCATTTCATGAGTTCAAGCTCCGAGTCAGGCTCTGAGTTGGCAGTGCGGAGGATGCTTGGTATTCTCTCTCTCTCCTTCTCTCTCTGCCCCTCCCCAACTTGTGCTGTCTCTGTCTCTCTCAAAATAAATAAACTTTAAAATAAAGTATTGGGGGGGGGCACCTGGGTGGCTCAGTCAGCTGAGCGTCTGACTTCAGCTCAGGTCATGATCTCACGGTCCGTGAGTTGGAGCCCCACGTCGGGCTCTGTGCTGACAGCTTAGAGCCTAGAGCCTGCCTCGGATTCTATGTCTCCCTCTCTCGGCCCTTCCCCCACCCGTGCTCTGTCTCTCTCTCTCTCCCTGTCAAAAATAAACTTTAAAGAAAAAAAATTATTGGGGATAATGCTTATTTAAATAAATACAAAAAACAAAAGAAGATAAAGAATGATGGGAAAAACATTTAAAGTGAACAATCTTCAGTTACCTTTTATTAAGCACTGATTACACATGAGGAGCTAATCCAGGCACTTTTGAACACATCATACTCTATTTCTCATATCAACCCTATAAAGTACATATTAAGTAATGTTCCCATCTAAGTAACTCAGGCTCAGAACTGTTATCAGACCTGTCATCAGACCATAAAATGATTACATCTGGGATTCAAATGATTCCTAGGTCTGTGTTCTTTCCACAGCGCTATACTGCCCTGCCCATTCCAGTCCAGATTCCAATTAATACTGATAAACTAGCAAGAATTAAAACAAGAAGACTGAATTCAAGGAGGGGAAGGTTAGAGACAGGAATGCTAATTAGAAGCTTGTTAAACACAGGCCAGCAATGTTGATGATTAAAATAACAGTTATTATAGGGGCACCTGGCTGGCTCAGTTGGTTGAGTGTCCAACTCTTAATTTTGGATCAGGTCATGATCTCAGGATAATGGGATTGAGCCCTGC